AGTATTCTCACCTCTCCACCCAGCAGTTGAGTGGCTGGAGTTCAGGGACATTGCCCAATGTGCATTGTGCGCACTATTAAGGCCCCCCTGGAGCAACGTGGAGAGAAGAGAGCTCTGCTGGAAATGATGGTGCAGAGAGAAATGTCCACCCTCCAGGAAACACATCTTTCCATTGTTCTGGGGGGGGGGGGCCCTTTCATACCGGAAACACATCCCCCAGCAATCAAAGTTCTACTGGCTCCCTTCCTACATCAAGGAAGGCTGGGGCCTCGGTCTGTGTCTGGGACAGAAGGGACCAGGGGAGGTCACTAGAGCAGGACTTGAGCTGCAGGACCAGCAGTGTTCACTTCCAGAAAGGCACAGCAGAAAGGCTTCACTGGCTGCCAAAAATCGCCTTTGAAATCAGATTGGGAGGCTCTGAATTCCAACTCCTTTCTTTGTGGCTTTGGATGAGTTATTTTCTGAGCCTCAGGTGACTTACCTGTAAAATGTGCAGAAGGTCTCCCTCACAGAGATGTGAGGAGGGTAAAGAAACATCCACCTGAGCCCTGGCTGGACACGCTGCCCTGACACCTGCTCTTTCATACTCAGTTGGATCCAGAAGCAGGGGAAATGGGGCTTGGACTTTCAATAGTTCATAATCTTTTAACCAAGAATCTCATCTCTATCAACATACATTTAATCTTTAAACAAAAATCTGAAAGGCCCCACTTAGGTAGGCCTCATGGTCCTCCTCGGCTGACACTCCATGGTTCAGAGCTTAAGGAGTGTCCACAACTTGTAGATGTCACAGAAGGCAGCTTCCCCGAGGCACCCCTCAGAGAACAGCTTCTTGGGCCCTCAGCCTGCACCCTGTTGTCCATCCTGTTGGACCTACTTCATAGCCTGGTTGCACTGTGGCCACCACCTTTGGGCCACTGACTCTGGAGGTGTCACTATCAGGCAGTCTTGGTCTCCTTATAGGACGTCCACCTGGGTGGACAAGGCACTGTCCTTTCCTCCAGAAAGGAAGCAGAAATAGCTGGCAAAAACAGTGTTTTAGGAGACACTGGGTGTGATGTTAATCCTGTTCGCTTGACTGGCTTGAGAGATGCCTAGGAGAGTGGCATTAATTTTGGGTGTGAGCCATGGAGGGTTGTCCTTGGGGACTATATCTGGTCCTTGGGCCTGTCCTGTAGCTCTTTACAGGCCTTTCTGCTTCACTGGCAGCCATGAGTTGAGCAGCTTTGTCGTGCCTTTCCGCCATGTGGAAATACTGACAAGTTCCTCTACACTCTCCCTGTAAGTCCAAGTACGGTGTACAGAAGGGCAGCTAGATGAAGGCAACAACGCAGAGCAAACAAAGCACTTGAGGAAGATCAGTCCTCTCCAAGGTGGTCAAAGTTACAAATCTAGAGAAAATGCACCTTTGCAGGATGTGAGCCCATGGGGGTACTCATCTTGAGTCCTGCCCTCTCGAGCTTGTATCACTTCAGTGGTCGCCTATCCTTTCATGTTTATTCTTCAGGGGTCTCCAGCCTACAGATCTGGCCCTTCAGTCCCTTGTCATGACCCCTTTTCCCCTCCCATCCTCTGGTATTTCTAGCCACGTCCTCACCCCCTCCTACCCTCTGCATATGCCCTTGGTAGCACTTTCCTTTTGGCACCACTGGCTTGTCTATCTCTCCAGCTATCAGCTCCAACAAGGTCAGGGACGTCCTTCAAGATGTTGCTCACCATCATTCACTAAAGGACTAGACCAGCACAACAGCCTCTCCAACCTCTCTGGGAAGGAAGACGGGACACTGGGCTCTGAAGGTTAATGTGCAGCCTGGAAATCACCTGCATGTTCCCTGCTCACACAGCCAGCATGTGACTGCCAAAGGCTGCCATAAGCTGCTGAGGGTACAGCTGTGAATTCCTACAGTGCTTAGAAAGAGCGACAGTGGCTGCACTTTAGCACCTCCAAAGAGGGGGAGTGGCGCTCCGCACAGCTGTCTTCCTTAGCCAGCCTCCTTCCTAAACTCTCACAGCTTCTGAAACCTTGTGTGACCTGGAATGCCAAATGGCAACACCTGCCTTCTCGGGGACTGAGAAGTGCAGGAAAAGAAAGTGCCAATGCCACACGCAGGCCATGACGACAGACACTACTCGCTGAGTGGTACCAATTCACCCCAGGTGCCTTGTTTAACCTGAGAGGTGAACACAATCTCAGTGGCAAAGGACAGGAAAGACCAGACAGCACCTGGGTCTCCAGTTCAAGGCCCCAGCTGCCACTTGTTATATGTAAGACCAAGGTCAGATCTGAGTCAGTTCCCTCATTCTCAAAATAGGCATAACAATCTTCCCTCAAAGGGATGAAAGGACTAAATAAGGTTAGTAGACAATATGTGTACAGCATGGCATATGGCATGTGGAGTAGAGTTAATAATAGAAAACATACCCACCTGGTAGAGAGTTTGTGCTTTTGTGCAAGACCTACCCAAGAGCCTGCAGAATCAGCACATTCCTAATAGGAAGTAGCATATTTCCCCAGATTATCTCTACTACACCCCTTTTATTTCTAGTCTGAAGTTCTTTCTTAATGACTCTCTTTATTCAACTACTGCTCTGAAGAGTTTTCATAGCTTTCTGCCTCTGGAGGAATTTGAAGCTAGATGCTTTCTGAGCTCTTAAGAATAAGCAAATAAGGTTACCACGTAAGGACAGAGGCTGGGGCTCGGCATGGTGGCGCGTTCTGCACTGTGAGAGCGCAGCGGCCGCTGGATCGCCATGCGCCGGCGGCGACCCTGACATGGGCACCAGCAGCTCCAACGCTCGGGGCCTTTGGCCCTTCACCTCGGCGGCGGGAGGCGGCGTCCCGGAGACTACGGGTGCTGAGCAAGCTTTGGTGAGGCCTCGAGGCCGAGGGGTGCCCCCCTTTGTATTCACGCGTCGCGGTTCCATGTTCTATGACAAGGATGGGGATCTGGCTCATGAGTTCTATGAGGAGACAATCATCACCAAGAACGGCCAGAAGCGGGCCAAGCTGAGGCGGGTGTATAAGAATTTGATTCCTCAGGGCATCGTGAAGCTGGATCCCCCCCGCATCCACGTGGATTTCCCTGTGATCCTCTACGAGGTGTGAGCTTGGTGGGTGACGGACACAAGGACCCCCTCTGACCCAGCAAGAAACTTCCAGTCTCAAGGTGTGGCTTCCATTGAGAAGCCCAGGCTGGGGCCACAGCCCTGCATAAACTCTGTTGGCCCAGAACCTTCAGCTGTGAGCAGGACAGTCCTCAGTATAAGTTGGGTATTGGGTTGTGTGTGGACAAGAGTGTTGGTGTCTGGCAAAGGCTAATGGGAGAGTTACCAGCAGAGCTTTCCCAGCCACGGGGCATATGTCAGTCAGGAATGTGTGGTTCCTGGTTCCTTGCCTGGCCTGCTTTCTTCCAAGCTTGCCTAGGGCCCAGTCTTACTAGAAGCTACAGCACTTTACATGCAAAGTCTGCCTTCTTCCAGCCCCTGGGCTTTGGGAGGTCTACACAAGTGGGAACTTCCTTTCCCTCACTTCCTTTACCCCCTGGTCAGAGCATTTCAGCCGTTTGCTACCTCAATTCTTCCTATATTGGACAGAGGCTGGGGAGAGCACCAGCCTGATTCTTCCCACCTACCTGCCATTTGTTCCCACTTTCAGATGGACAGTTTGCTGGCTGTTAACTGGAATGAGGACTGGTATGGGTAGCTTCTTCCTTTCCCAGGGCTTGGCTGATCACTCCCCAGTGCAACTAGTTATTGCCCTCTCCTCAGTTAAGAGGTACAGGCCAGAGTCAGAACAGGCTGTGTGGATGTCTGTGCCTATGGGGAGTTCCCCCGAGCCTATTCTAACCGCCACCCATGCCTTTGCACCAGCCGTTCCCCCTACCACCCGGTTGGGAGGGTCCACTACCCTGTGATGAAGAACAACATACTAGGGCTGGTGCCAGTAGGGCTATGAGGAGACCACCACCCTTCCCCCACAGTATCTTCACCCCTTCTGGATCAGTCAAGGGAAAGTACTACGCCCCTTGATAGGCACAGAAAGGAGGGCAAAAACATCAAAGGAATACTGTACTTAAAATGTGAAGATTTGTAAATAGTCTAGTCCATGCTGATGGTAGGGCAGAGTCTGATTTCTACATAGAAATGACTTTTTTTTTCTTTTAATTCCTTATTGTGCAAGCTCTGTGCTTCTAGCATGGGACATCGCTTGGGGATAAATTATTAGTAGATCCTGTAAAAAAAAAAAAAAAAAAGAATAAGCAAATAAGCAAAGTGACAAAACTGATGATCCCATGCAGAAAAGCTAGCTTTAGAAAGGGAAGAAGCCAAGGACTAGGAGCTGCCGCCTGGCTCTAAGGCATCTCTTGCACACCTGTGTGCTATCTCACCCCTTCCTGCTTTAAGATGACCTGACCATATAGATCAACGTAACAAGGGATTCTCACTACCTGGTAGTTCCTCCAACATTTTGTCCATGTAGGCCTGACATCTGCAATGGTGGGAGACCTCCGTGCAGGATGCTGTGTGGTTAAGGAAGGTGGAAATACTGCTCAAGTCTCCCAATTCACCAGCCACGGGGAGACCTAGGCTAAGATTTAAGTGAGTGTTCCTGAAAAAGCCCTCATCCTCGCCCATCATGTAAGTCATCCCACTTACAGCCGCCTTCTTTCTCAAAGAGGCTGCCCAGAGCTGAGGGACAGTGAAGGCAGATGCCAAGGACAAAGAAAGGACAGGAAGCAGTGCCAGACACCGAAGGCCCTAGAACATACATGTCTTTTCACAAAAGGGCAGCACTTTCCACAATGACCAGTGACGCACAGGAGAAAATAGTTACCCGCTTTGCAGACTGACCCATGGACGAGGAACAGATTCATCTTCACCTCTACTTCTCCCAGGCCCTGAACTTCAGTGCCCCCATACTGCGAGATACCCCAAGACCAGAGCTGTGAGGCCTCAGGGAATGTACCATGTGGCAGCAGGCAAAGACACAACACACCTGATGGAGTTTATAAAATCATGTTTATTTCTTTGATCAAAAGTTGTCCCTATAATACAGGGGTCTTCAATTTTTTTTTTTTGCACGGTTATACACAGTCTGAATAAGTAGCTTGCAATCCAAGGCAGTTTTATGTTTTGCTCTTCAAAATGGTGTTGCTGTCCACACTGACAAAGAAATTATACTAATGAAAACAAAATCAGGTATCATCTGCAGTACCACAGGCTAAAGGGCAGTTCTCAGATAGAAGTTTTCTCACGTCTTGCTGAAAAAGGGGGATCAAAAGCAAAGCACTCCAGAGAACTCAAGTGGTATGGCATAACAAACTCTTGGCTGAAGGCCGCATTTATAAACTAGTCATCCATGCTGCTCTGGTGTGACAGAAGTCAACACAAGGCTAAAATGTGGTGGTGGTTCTCACTTCCTCTTCTTTGGGGCATATAATTTTTCTTCAAGTGGGACTGGGAACATGCCTTTACATTGTTTTACTTCCTGGGTCAGAGGGTGTTTTACGACGTTTGGTCTAATCACATCAATGTCCCGAGACAAGTGATCCAATATACTCTCCACGGCTGTTGGTGGTGCATAAAAATCCACTAAGAAATATCTGGAAAAAAAAATTTTTTTTGAGAATTCTCACACCCTAAAATACAACAATAGTACCATGTTAGTCAATGGTTTCATTTCACTCTTGGCAGACAGACATCAACCACTCACAAACATGCCTCTGTCAAATACACTCTCAGCTGACCAGCTGAGGAGTGCAGCAGTACACTCAACCTCCTTTCCGATCCCTTTCCCATTACACTGCTGTGAAAACATTAGCCTAAGCAAATTTTATAGCAGCAAAAAGGCATTGGCACTTACAGTGTGAAATACGAGAAAATCCGGTAAAATTATGGGTAAAAGGACAGAATTTTCAGCCCATCAACAAGATTGAATTTTTTTAAAACCATCAATTGATATTTTCTTTGAAAACATCTATGAGGTAGCCTTCTAATTTTCCAAGGGATTTTATAAGTGACTTAGTGCACCCAAGAGACACAGTAAGGGCCACTGGTCACCCTTCACAAACAAAGAAAAAGACTAAGAAAGCCATGAGACTCATCTAAGACTATTCTGTATGTTCAAGAAATGACAAAGAATACAAAGGAAACAATTAAGAAAAAGAATGCACTTTCATTTACTCAGACCACATTGCTACTAACAAACATCCCAGACAGCTCACCGGTCTTCAAAGATCCACAGCTTCAGCAGCAGTCTACTGGATGATGCTACAAGAAAATATGTACCCTTCCTTTTCTTTTTCTGCACATCTATCCTCTCAGTTCTAAAAGTTTGAGCTTCCTTTGTACTGTCTTGATTTGGACTACACTGTGGTTAGGGATCGTGTCAGCAAAGTAATCCAGAATTCTTCAACATTCTAAGCTGATAATTTTTTCAACATCACCTACTTCATTCCAGTCACACCCTCTTGGAGCTCCCAACCATATTCCCTTCTAAGATCTTGGCCCTCACTATTTCTTTGGCCAGTACTGTTCTTTGCCCAAGTTCCACCCAGTTTATCCCTCCCTCACTTTTGCCAAATCTCCATCCAAATGTCACCTTCTCAGAGGTGTTCTATGGCCATTTCTCCCAAGGGAACACCCTCTCTGTCCTACCCATCAAGCCTCGCTACTCTCTCTCCTTTACTCAGTGCTTTATTCCTTTCTCAGAGGACTTAAAACCAATGGCATAGTATACATTTGTTTACTATCTGTCTCATTCCACTAAAACATAATTTCAGTACAAAGGACTCTGGACAGAGATTGACACAGAGTATGCCCAGCGTTAACTCTTTCGATGGTGGTGCTGGCATGAAAGGTAGAATTCTCCTGAAAGCAGAAAAGACCTTACTAAAAATGGAGAGGTTCAGCAAAGAATGAAATTATAAGAAAAAGGATGCCATTTTGTGTAATTCCATATAAAGAGTGTTCAAAACTTGTAAGCAAATTTCCTGAGTGATCACTCTTCCTCAAGGTTAGTGGTAAATATCATTCAAGTAAACAAATAAAAAGGACAGGAAAACACTAATCAAAAGACAGCTCTGGGCCGGGGATTTAGCTCAGTGGTTCCGCTGCCTGCCCTGCAAGCGCAAGGACCCGAGTTTGATCCCTGGTACCAAAAAAAAAAAAAACAGCTCAAGTGGATGAATCAGCCTTTAGAGCAAAGAAAATTACCAGCAGAGAATTCATAATGATGAGCTTACCAAGACACAGATGTAAGTCTACAGTACATTTACAATCACAGATGTAAATCTATCAGATACCAGAACTCCAACATAAAGAAGAGAACTCACGGAACCGAAAAAGGAAACACAAATTCACAATTACAACCTGAGATTTTTGATATTTCTCTCTTAGAAAGGGAGAGAATTAGTACACAAGAAATCAGCAAAGACAAAGAAAAGTGAAAACTAACATCAACCATCCAGAACTGACATTTAGAGAACCATTCACTAGCAAAAGCTGGATTTTTCTGAAGTGTACATAGAACATGTAGCAAGGTCAACCATATTCTCAGCCATAAAACAAGTCTCAATACATCTAGAGGGATTAAAATCATACAGAAAGATTAGAGGAAAATCCCCCAAATACTGGAAAAATAATGGAACAATGGACCAATGGCTTGAAGAAATCAAAACAGAAATTCTAAAGTATCTGAGAGTGAATGAAAATGGAAAAAACCAACATATCTGGAGATGCCAGTAAAACAGTACATAGCAACAAATTTATAACACTAAACAGCTATGACAAGAAGGACTCAAATCAATGAAGTCATCTTCCACTTTAGGAAACTGGGGGAAGGGATTAAATCTAGTAACCGGGAGGTAGAGGAGGTAGAACAATAGATGAGAGCAGAAATCCCTAAAATGGAAAACAAACAAAACCCAGAGAACATCCATGAATCTCAGTTCACTGAGATCAGTAAAATGAATATATCTCGAGGGAAACTGATCAATAAAGACATAAGACACAAACTACCAATTCTGGGAATGAGAAAGGTGAAATTACTCTAGACTCTACAAATATTAAAAGGATATTAAGAAATACAAATAACTTTTTAAATAAACTTGACAAATTCCTCAAAAAATAAACTCACAAAAAGTAGATAACAAGGGCCAGGGATTTAGCTCAGTGGTTCTGCCACCTGCCTCGCAAGCACAAGGTCCCGGGTTCAATCCCCGGTACCAAAAAAACAAAAAAACAACAACAACAAAAAAAGCTCTGCATCTCCAAAAGAAATTAAATTTGCAGATGAAAACATTTCTACCAAGAAACTAGAGTGGCACAGATAGCTTTGTGGGTCAATTATATCAAACATTAAGAAAAAAATACCAATTCTGACATAAATTCACCCCCAAAATAGGAAAACACACTTCAACTTGTTTTGAGGATTTTTATCCTCTTTATCTCTTTATAAAGAAGTTTTATCCTGGGGATTACACAATATCAGAACAAAACATCACAGAAAAAGAACAGATTAATGTTACTCATGAGCATAGATGAAAAAAATTCTAAACAAAGTATTAGCAAATTGTCTAATACATAAAAAGGACAATATATCACAACCAAGTAAGAGTTTATCCCAAGAACAAAAGATTGGAAAATCTTTATGAAAAATTAACCAATGTAGTCTGTCAAGCTAACAAATTAAAAAGCCAAAATACCAAAAAAAACCCCAAACCATATGATAATTTCAAGAATGCAAAATAAAAGCACTTAATGAATTCCCATTGTCATTCCTGATAAAAATTCTCAGCAAACCAGAGATAGAAGGGAACATCCTCAAACTTACCAAGATATCTTTGAAATCCTACAATTACTATTTCATCAACTAATGAAAGTCAGCTTGCCCCCAAGATTAAGAACAAAGAAAGATGTCCACTGTGGTCACCACTTTTATTCAACATTAGACTGGAGGTCTTGAGCAATAAGGCAAGAAAAAGAAAAAAAGGTATCCAGATTGGCACGAAAAAAGTAAAACTGTCATTACTTGGAGATGACATGAGTACTGGGGAAATCTGAAGAAATGTATTAAAAAGATATCAAAATAAGTGAGTTTAGCAAAGTTGTAAGATACAAAATCAACATACAAAAGTTAATTATATTTTTATGTATCAGCAACAAATAATCAGATCTTGGAATTAAATGGAAAATACTTAGGAATAAATGTGACAAAAGGTTGCTGGAAGAAATAAAGGAAACCTACACAGAGGTTATATACCTTTTTCATGTTGTGAAAGTTGATGTACCAATATGAAATCATTCTTGCCAAAAAATAGAGAGAGGTGGAGTCTCAAAGTAATGAAGGGGGAGGGTTCATGACTGTCACTCTGAGATAAATACTGTTTCAAGAAATTTCTAAAGTCCTAGGAGGGCCCTCTTTATTTTATGCGAAGCCTCCCGGGTATGCACAAATTTCTTTTTTTAAACCGTAAGATAAAACTTTATTTGAAGGACCCGAGTTCGATCCCCGGTACCAAAAAAAAAAAAAAACTTTATTTGGAAATAGGGTTATTGTTCATATAGTTAATTAAGATGAGGTCATATATTGACACAGCGCAGACCCTTAATGTACCAACTGATGCTCTTTTTTAAAAATGTAACACAAGGGCTGGGGATTTAGCTCAGTGTTTCTGCTGCCTGCCTCGCAAGCGCAAGGACCTGAGTTCAATCCCTGGTACCAAAAAAAAAAAAACCCCAAAAACAATAAAATGTAATACAAGTAGGGCCAGGGATTTAGCTCAGTGGTTCCTGCGCCTGCCTTGCAAGCGCAAGGTCCTGAGTTCAAGCCCTGGTACCCACCCCCCCAAAAAAAGTAATGCAAGTAGATTATTAATAAAGAAAACACAAGTTAACATCTATGATGGTATACACAAATTTCTGTAACAAAGTTTATCTTTAACATTATTTAAGACTGTTATAATTCAAAAATGATGTTTTGGATAGAAACATTTGCCCATTTACATCACCTTTACCAATGAGCTGATGCCAACTCCTGTCTCCAGTTTCCAAAACCAATAAAGTTTGCATCCTACTTTGGTAAATTTTATGTAAATCTCTCACTTTTTATTTTGAAAAACTGCCCTCTACCTCAACCTCTTGGCAAACATATCCCCACTGCAAAGTTCTCTTATTCCCAACTACATACTATTTTTTAGAGATCTCTCTGACTGTTATTTAGATTGGCAATGGGTGAAAATTCTCAGATGTATATGTGAACTCTCCCTAAATTAATCTACAGATTCAAGAAAATCTCAATCAAAATCCAAGACAACTGATTCTCAAGTTCAGATGGAAACAAAATGATGTACAATAGCCAAAACTTGGATAAAGAATAAAGGTGAAGGACTAACTCCATCTACATCAACAATAAACGTATTTCCAAATTCCTATATACCCACTACCTCCTGAGTCTTACAATCTAATGTTGCCCAGAAGACAGAGTCAGAAAGGTTCCATCACTAGCCAGAGCTCACTCAACTAAGAGGCCATACCCAGGATTCAAACACAGTCTTTTGATTCCAGACCTAAGAAGCCACTGACAGTTTTGAGACCAAATGGG